AAATTTCGGTTAAGGTTTCGGCAATTTTGCGTTCAAATCGGCCAAAACATAGGCCACGGATGTCCATAGAGTGAGACACAGATCCATATAATAGGGATTGATTGCACTGATTGTGTCGGCGCTGGTGTGCGAGTAGTGCCAGTATTTGCTGTTGTCGTTGAGTAGACCCGAGGCGGGGACCCCCGCGTCCATAAACTCGTTGGCATCGCTTTGGGTTAAGTCCAGACTCTTTCCGACCACTAATTGTGTTGTATTGATGTCGCGAAGCAATTGCAACACTTCGTGAACAATACACTGACTGCGAGGGCTCTGACCCGAGAATGTGAGTCCGAACGGCTCGAATGTACCGAAATCTAAGTTCATTATTAAACTTATGTTTTCCATCGACTCTTTGTGTCTCTGAAATACAATATAAATATTTAGTGAATTCACAATAAATATAACATTATTTTTTTTCACTCACATCGATATAAGCCTTGGACCCAAACCTTCCCATCTCTTCGCCGGTGAATAGGATTAGTTTTAAAGTCCGTTTGGGTTTTACGCCGAGTTTTTTGAGGAGAGCCAACGCTCGCCACGATATGACAACACCGGCGCCGTCGTCAATGGCTCCCTGTCCCACATCCCAACTGTCCAAATGGGCGCTCACTATCACCTCCTCATTGGGATATCGAGTTCCCGTGAGTTCTGCCATTAAATTCCTCGATTGTGTCAATCCATAGAAAGTGGACTCCAAATAGAGGCCAACCTTTACTTTCACACCTCTTTTGGTCATTCGTGACAACATATCCGCGTCTTCTGCGGCAATACTGACGGCTGGTATTTGTGTATCCTTTGAATAGTACCTAATAATGCCCGCGTGTGGCGAATACACCACCTCTCGGGCCACTGACCGGAACATAACGGCTCGACCGCCAGAATTGGCCGCCAGTCGAGTGGCATCTAATTTGAATTTAATATACGATCCGTTCACTCGATTGGCGTTAAATAAAACAATTTTATCTTTAATCAAATGAGTGGAGATTTCATTCAACGCTTCCAACGTATTAACGACAATAACTTCGGCAGTGATGCCATCCTTAGGTGTGGCGACACTTCCGGCAAATCCCAAAATAGATAGTGTTTGAGAGCGGGGTTCGAGCAGTCGGGCCCACTCTAAACCCCGTTCCCATTTTGGCACTAAAACATTTTCGGTGTAAATGTCGTCAAGTTTTTCGGTCTCAAGTGTTTCGACGAGAAAATCGGTCGCGTTATCCAACGCTTGAGAGCCCACAAGTCGTCCGCCGAATGTGTCCACAAATTGTGCCAATTCTTCGTATGTCTTATTCCT